CAAGTTTCTCTCTTTTAATATTTTTATCCTTGTTATTCAACTCCTACTACTTTCCTAAATGCCCACTGGAGTCCTGGTCCTCCAGATCACAAATCTTCCAAAAATGACTCGGTTGGCATTGAAAAGACATCTTCCTGAAGCAGTGTACCCTTGAAGAGCCCACGCTGACTCCTAGTGACTGCCTGCCTCATTTTGGGGTGTTTGCATGCTCCCCACTAGAAAATTCTGTTCTAGAAAATCACTGAAAGACAGCATATTTATATGTATTCTTGATTCATATTTCCTGAATTTGTCTCTCCTCCCACTTTACCTTCTGACAGTCCTACCAATATTGATTTCCCAAAGATTATTAATACTGATTCCACAATGTAATATACAATTTCTTCCAGAACTCATTAGTGAAGGCAGACTTAATTTAGTTTGGTGTTCTCTGGTACTTTGGTGTGGGGTAACTTTTTCATGTTATTTTTAACATCATTTCCATGTTTGGATACATCCTTAATGGAAATAATAAGAAAGAAATCAAGAGGAACCAAGCAATGTATTTCTTTTACTCACATGAAACCAATTTCTGCATTCATTGGTCCTATCTCTTCCGACTACATCATAGTCTTCTGAAACATATATTCAAAACAACAACAGAAATCGCTGTGTTCCATTTTCACAGTATGTCTTCAGGATCCCTCATCCTCACATGTTCATGCCCGTCTTCATGTTTTGTAGGGAAATGCTCCCCACTACACACACACCGGGCAGCATTCATCCCTCGTCACCAGTTATTCTGATACTCAAATACAGCACAGAAACCCAATGGACTCTTTGGAGCTCTTATCTTTTCTGCCTTGTTAGACTATTCTGCATCATATGAATTGTTTCTTAAGTCCTTCTGCCTCTCTCAAGCTATACGCCATTATGAAGTGTATTTCTATGTGAAGCATATCTCTACCTGTAAAACTGTTTTCCAAAACACAAGTAACCAGATCTTGTTTTCCCTTCCTCCATCCCTACTAGCAATAACAACACTAGGTAACTTTCTTCCAAAAGTTCACATTACTTTGCCACCCTAAAACAACTCTTCGCATCATTCAAAACAATGTTGCATGGAGTAGTCTGCTTTGTTTCTTCATGCTTTCTTGGAGAAATCATATGGCCAGTAAAGCAAGTCAGGAACGCTCCAATTCTCACCTTCGAGACTAATGAAACAGGGAACTCAATCGTCAACTACGTAGATATCCCCCAACCCTTTAACTTTGTTAAAAATGAAGATCCTCCTAATAGCAACTAAGCAATCTATGGTGTGTGTGTGTGTGTGTGTGTGTGTACACACACATATATACATACCATCACATGTTCCTGCTCCATACTCCCAGTCTTCATACATATATGCCCTTCTGTGCTTCGGAACCTCAAGTTCATAATCACACCATACAGTCACCCAGGTTCACAGGCACACGTTATTCCTGCCTGTGCTTCAAGTCTCAGGTTCATAGTCATACAGTGGGTAAGGGTAGGCTGTGAAGGGATGACCACGGCACCTGGAGTCAGAACACCTGGCTTTACACACTCATTCTGTCCCTATATTTTAACCATACAACTATGAACAAGCAGAACTCAGTTTTTGAATCTCTAAAAATAAAATAATAATATCTACCATAAAAGGCTGGTTTTGACTATAAATATGTATGTATTTTTAGATCCAGTACCTTGTTAACTGGTTTTATAACAGAACAAACACATTTTTAAAACATATAAATCAACCTATGAAAGCTATTCTCCCCTAAAAGTCAAGTTGGAACAGGCAAAGAAGAGATTAAAAATCTACTGCCTTCTGTACTTTTGAATTTTTTAATTATTTACTTGCTTGAGAGGCAGAGAGAGGAAAAGACAGAGATGGAGTGCTCCCATCCATTGGCTCTCTCTTCAAGGCCCACGGAAAAGACAGAGATGGAGTGCTCCCATCCATTGGCTCTCTCTTCAAGGCCCACAACAGCCAAGGTAAAAACCAGGAGCCAGGAATGCAATTCAAGTCCCCCCACAGGTGCAGGAACCCAATTACTTGAGCCATCACTTCTGCCTCCCAGGGTCTGCACTGGCAGGAAAGAAGACAGTCAAGAGCTGGAGCCAGGAATAGAACACAGGTCCTCCACTGCGGGGCGTGGGCATAGTAACCATGACCCTAAACACTCTCTCTGTTATTTACTTTGTAATTATGCATTTTACCTAATGGTCTAAGGTAACTCATTTTGAAAGGAACAATTTACTATTATGAAAGTACTTCAACACTCTAGTATTCATTTGTATTAAATGTGTTTGTTCTAACTATGAACATTATAATGCTAAAGTATAATACTGCTATGTGCTATTCCATAAAGGTGCTACAACTGGGATTATTTTTATATTTCAACTCACCAAATGTGCCTCCTCTTCCTAGAGTTGTTTGTAGTCTCCTCATCATACACACAAATGCAGATATGTATAGGACTGTCATTAAAACGATGGCCACAATTGCTGTTTTCTTGGAGCTCATCACTTTCCCAAACAGACCACAGCTCATGGTGTTCCTTCCCGGTTCAGAAAACTCTGTCTATGTGACCATGATTCTGTGTCTCGTCCATTCTCTTACACAATTTGCCTGGATTGTAAATTGTCCTCAGACTTCCTAGAGAGGTAGACACAAAGCCACATGATCCCACCAGTCAAAACACAAGCACTTCTCTTCCAGAGTAGCTTTGCATACCCCTACCACCTGGGGAGGAAAATTTCAGCAGTTTAGGCTCTTTCACTACGGTTCCCAGTTGCCAGGAAACAATGTCTCTGGATATTTCTTAGGTCCTTTTGTTCTCTGTCTCCTTGAGGGGCGCAGGTCCAGATAAGTTTAAGTTACAGATGAGAAAACTATTGTATCAAGAAGAGATGGCCTCTCCCATACTGCCCCAGAAACTCCAAAATCAACCCAGCCCATGCACACAAAGGCTGTTATCACCAAGCCTGCCATAGTGGTACAGAAATCCAATGCAATTCAGGTCTTTGTTGCAAAAGTAATGACAGTACTGGCTTGGTGCCAGCAACCTTCCAACAGGCTGATGAGTAAGCACTACGCATGTGCTCAAGTGAGTAAGTGTGGGGCACTTTGTCCAGAGACTCCTGGTCCTGAGAAGAGAAGAAGTAGAACAACGTACTGCCCTTCATCTACCCATTCACCTCTATCCCCAATAGTCACTACCACCCTTGGAAAACAAATGCAAGACAGATTTGGGATTCTAAATGTGCATGATATTATATGTTAAACCCTGGGTATTCTAGCTGTTCTATTTGGGTTCAATATTTGAAAAGATAGTGAAAATATTTTTGATAGCTCTGGACAATATCGAGTGTTGGTTTTAATAGGAGGCTAGCTTTGCAAGAATACGCTGTGTAGCCATGTACCAACCTCGCTGTTGGTCTCCTTTGCCAGACGAAATGATGATTAATCAGGACTCAGATGTCAGTTGTTTTGCATTGCTTGTGCTCTTTGCTAACGGCTGCCTACTTCAAGCTGTGCTTCCTACACGTCAGATAGGAACACAAAACCACAATTTCCAGAAGGCAAATTTCAAAGTATTCATTCCAATGTACTAGAGTGTATTGGGATATTCAATGTTGTTCTGATTAAAGTGCAGTTAGTATATTATAGGATTTAACTAAAGTCAGTATAGAGATGGAAGTTTTCAGAACATGTGAGGTAACCAAGGAAAATAAAAAGCAAAGTATTAAAAAAACACACATAATCTGTTTAGATGCTTATAAATATATATTTCTGCAAATACTCAATGCATAAATTCTCCTTGATAAACTAGTGTCATTTTCCTTTTCTACTCTAAAATAAATACAATGAAATATTGATGGTAGATGAATTATTAGAAATTTAAAATTTTTATTCAGAATAAGCTTTAAATATTTTGCAATTCATGGTTCATTCTTAGCAAGGTTTTCACTACTTCATATTGATTTTTAATAAAAATCTCATCAGAAGAGCATATTTGGATGCTTTCTTTTTTACATAGCGCAGGGAGAAGCAAGTTTTAAGACAAAAACAAAGAAATTATTGGTCAAGCTTTTCAGGAGTTTAGGAAAGTATCTGCCTAAAATTTGGGATACACCAAACAGAATTTTAGCAGAATTGATTTTTTTCTTAACCTAGATAATAAATGTCTACTTTGGACTGTCCATGTGGCACACAGTTCCCAAATTAAACTCTTTCAGAGGCTGCCGCTTTTAGCAAAAGAGGGGGAAGTGAGAATGAGACAACACCCGGGCTCTTTCTATACAACTGCAGCCAAGTTGCCTGAAAACTGAGTTTGGCCAATTCTCTGTAGTTCATTGTTAGTGCTATGGCAGGACCCAGGAGCTTGGCCACACGGAAGGCACTTGAGTGGGACTCGTCCACGCCTAGGGTCTAGCACAGCCAAGTGGTGGGTGTCCTTTTCTGTCTCGGCTGTGCACTCCTCAAAGCATACATTACCTGCTTTGGACCTGTTCCTAACATTCAAAAAATACTTCCAGGAAAGCCTCTGGCGCTCCTCTAAACCAGCATCAAAACAGGAGCACGCGTTTGTCCTAGGAATTCAGACCCACCCTGGGATGCCCACACCCCATAAGGGAGTGCCTGAGTTCGAGTCCTGGCTCTGGACTCCATCCCCGCTTCCTGCTAATCCAGGCCCTGGCAGGCAGCGGGTCACAGGTCAAGTACTTGGGAACCTGCCCACGTGGGAGACCTGGATTGAGTTCCTGGCTTGTTTTGGGCATTTGGCGAGTGGGCCACTGTATGGCAGCTAGCTTATGCTCTCTTTTCCATTGTGTCTTTGCCTCTCAATTAAGTAAAATAATTCATTAAAAAAAAGGTACTACCAAAACAGCGCCCGTCCCCAGCCCTGAGGTGAGCGGGAGTGGGGGGAGGCACCTGCCACAGCGCGCCTCACCCGGGTCCCTAACACGCGTGCGCTTCCCCTCTCTCTCTGCAGGTAGCCAACCTGCTGCGCCTCTTCCAGATCCCCCAGATCAGCTACGCTTCCACCAGCGCCAAGCTCAGCGACAAGTCTCGCTACGATTACTTCGCCCGGACGGTGCCCCCCGACTTCTACCAGGCCAAGGCCATGGCCGAGATCCTGCGCTTCTTCAACTGGACCTACGTGTCCACCGTGGCCTCGGAGGGTGACTACGGCGAGACGGGCATCGAGGCGTTCGAGCAGGAGGCGCGCGTGCGCAACATCTGCATCGCCACGGCGGAGAAGGTGGGGCGCTCCAACATCCGCAAGTCCTACGACAGCGTGGTCCGCGAGCTGCTGCTGAAGCCCAGCGCGCGCGTCGTGGTGCTCTTCATGCGCAGCGACGACTCGCGCGAGCTCATCGCCGCCGCCAGCCGCGCCAACGCCTCCTTCACCTGGGTGGCCAGCGACGGCTGGGGCGCGCAGGAGAGCATCGTCAAGGGCAGCGAGCACGTGGCCGACGGCGCCATCACGCTGGAGCTGGCCTCGCAGCCCGTGCGCCAGTTCGACCGCTACTTCCAGAGCCTCACGCCCTACAACAACCACCGCAACCCCTGGTTCCGGGACTTCTGGGAGCAGAAGTTCCAGTGCAGCCTGCAGAGCAAGCGCAGCCACAGGCGCACCTGCGACAAGCACCTGGCCATCGACAGCAGCAACTACGAGCAGGAATCCAAGATCATGTTCGTGGTGAACGCGGTGTACGCCATGGCCCACGCGCTGCACAAGATGCAGCGCACGCTGTGTCCCAACACCACCAAGCTGTGCGACGCCATGAAGATCCTGGACGGCAAGAAGCTGTACAAGGATTACCTCCTGAAAATCAACTTCACAGGTAAGGCCGGGGCTTCCGCGCGTGGGTGGTGTGACAGGTGGACCCAGACACAGGGGTCAGGCTGTCGAGCAGAATTTCCCAGACGCACTAGGAGGTTTCCCTGATGGTCTTGCTCTTTTTGTTTTGTTTTGTTTTCAAACCATCACGGCTTTTGCACTACAGGACACGGAAAGGGCCCCCCAGGCTGAGCTAATGGCTCCACCGTGGTGGCTGCTAGGTGGGGAGCATGCCACATTCGCTCTTCTTCCTGTTGTCAGCCACACAGTGGGATGTAAATGATGTGGGCATTTAATCATCTTCAGCGGGAACTGACCATTCTGCAAGAAGCGTGAACTTCCGGGCCTTTCTTGTGGGTTATTCGAGCAAAAGGATCTCATAACTTTCACAGTGAGTGAAAGAAAAAGAATTTTTTTTTTCTGAGCCTAATTAGAGGCCAAAACGGAAACAATAACCTACACCATGGCGACCTCCAGGCCCTGGAGCTTATGTCTTCTGCTATATAAAACACTTCGCTGCAGTTTTAAGAACTGTGGGTTTTCTCCAATTATGTTATAAAATGAAAATGTTTTTCTGTGAGCCTGAGTATAAGCAAATTGGAGACGGATTTGATCAGTGGAGAACATGCACAGGTGTATTCAAAGTGATTATTGCTGCCTCTTCATTGTGGTCTAAAACTCTGTCTAAATACAGTACTTCATTTTAATGCATCTCTAACACACACACACACACACACACACACACACACACAGTATCTTCAGGTTTGCATTGTCTACTAAGGTACATGTGATATCAGTTCATTAAGGTCCTGGTTCTGGAGAGTCTGGATTAATCCTCCAAAATAAAGTGGTAAGTAGCACTATTGGGCACATTAAGATTTAGATTCTGAGAATGTTACAATAAAAATTATTTCATTTGTGTAAACTGCTGGTCATGCTCCATGCCACCGGGACCTCATTCTAGTCTGAGTCTGTTTCAAGTTGTCATGGAAGACCTGAGAGTTTGTGAGCCTACGTGGCAGTTCTCACCTCCTCTTATAGGTGATCCCACGGGCACCACTTGTTCCACAGAATCACCAGTGGTACTGAGGTAGGGTCCCATGGCCATCGACTCCTGTTCCAGAATTCTCACCCCCTGAAAATAAGCACAGAAACTACCAGCATGCATTTTCGTTTATCATTTTTTTCTTCTTTGTCTCTAGAGAGGACCAAAGGTAGTAGAAATCAATTATGTTCCCTCCTATTTATCTGATGGGTACCACCTTTTCCATTAGAATGATGACTGAAAATGGTAAAGATTAAACTCTTTTTCTGCTCATATTCCTAAAGGTGTGCTTCATGTAAAAAAAAATGAAAAGAGCAGTTTCTTAGCATTCCTCTCAGAATCCCAGATCAGTTCCCTGCTGACATCTCCAGAAAATAAGAATGGACTCTAGAGTCCATTAAAAAAGGCTATCTTTACTCTAAAAATAAATGAACTCTCAGGCATCCATAAATAGCATCTATAGTGCAATTAATTCTGCAAGATGAATAAAACACTTCAGCCTGTACCCTCCCCTCCCCTGTCAGACCACCCTTGGAGTTATCATTTATCTTTATTCACCACATGCATTAATTAACTTTGTTATTCTGATTCATTCCTCACTCCTTAGCATGCAGATATCCAAACACATCCACTCATCAACAGCCAAACAGTTCCAGAGAGCCCCTACGAGGTGTTTATACAACCAAAACCTTTGCCCATGTCTGACTGCTTGAGTTTTAAAAGGCAAGGAAAAGTGAGGAAATAATGCTGCGATCCAGATAAATAAACAAAAGCCTCTTCTTTGTGTCTGTCCTTTGCAATTCCTGGCTTCAATTCCACAGCTCAGTTTGTCTACACAGCCCCGACTACAGGGTACAATTTTAACTTTCTCAATTTGTCAGGTATTACCAGTTCTTCTGCATTTCTGAAATGAGCAGGATGGCAAAAAGCAGGTTTAAGCCACGGAAAAGAGAGGGTATTTAGACCAGCCACAAGGTGCATATGCTTGGTAATGAGGATTAGACAAGAAAATGCATTATTATGAGAGGATACTAAGAAGCAAATTAGCAAACTAGTACATCAGAAATGAAACTAAGAACAAATTATAAGAATCTAAAACTTGGCTAAGAGGAACACACACAGAATAGAACAGAATATAGATTATGGGATGCTGGTTTGGATTTACAGTAACCTGTATGTGACTGACTACATTTATGTCTCTGTTTTAACTTGGAAATAGAGCAAAGATTATCAGTATGCATTCCATGTTACTGCTTTAAGACTGAAAAGTATTAAGGATTTTCTTCCTAGTTAGCTATTGCAAGCAGGTTTGTTTTATTTTTTCTGAAATAGTATCTCTGTTTTTCGAACTTGAATATTCAGGCAATGGACTAGACACAAGGGTCTACACTTAGCAAACACTAAACAATCAGCTTAGTTGGGTTGAAAAAATTCTCTTCCAGCCAGCTGCTTATATCAAATGGATTTACTCCAAGATTATTCTCTAAAGGGAAAGCGGTAGCCAATTCCCTAATACCTCTAGTCCTTACAGGATGAAAGAGCAAGGCCTTCTGAGAATTTAAATTGTGTCCATTAAAAAGATTTCCCTGGTGTTTTGTGAATTCCTACCAGCTAGTTCCAGCATTCGCCAATAGGAGTCTTGTTTGAAGCTAACCCAGTTTGAATACTCATTTTGTACGATTTTTCAGAACTGTGCTTTGTGAAAATTATTTCTAAGCGGTGAGCTCTTCTGGCGTTGGATTTACTCACACTCACCTCACTAGATTCATCTGCCACTGAACACCCCCCATACACCTTTTCTCCCACTGAGACTGCTTGTGGTTCCCCAAACAGACCTCTACTTCTGCCTTTGTACCCTCTGAGCATGCTGGTTCCCCACCTAAACACCCTCACCCACCCCCAGCTACCTTGTCTTGCAACATCCCTTATTCCTGTGTCAATTCAAGGCTCCCCTTACTTGATACTTGCTTTAGAAGCCTGCCTTGGACTTCCAAAACTCAGTGTCCCTGCTCTTCTCTTTTCCTATCATTCTGGCATATTTCTTCCCCTCATGCTTTATACCCAGTCCAGCAACATATCCTGCCAGCTCTCCCTCTGAAACAGATCCAGAATCTGACCCCTTCTCAGCTCAGGCTGCTCCCAGCCACCAACATCTCTTGCCTATGTTTCTTTAAGAGCCTCCTGACTGGGCACTCTTGCCCACCTTTAGCCAGCGTGCTCTCGCCATGACAATCAGCATTTCCTTTTAGGATGCAAGGCAGGGAAAATCCATCCTCTGCTTAAAACCCACTGAGGAGCGCCCTAGTTCACTCAAATTCAGAGTCAAAATCCTTTGCCCAAATCCCCCACCTCCAGCCCGTCCTCAGGGATCTGTCTTCCCCTTTCCCCGCCTTGCTCCTTACTTTATTCCAGCCCCTCCCACTTCCAGGCATGACCTTTCTGCATGAAATGCTCCCCCTGCCTCTCCCAGGGGCTCCTCAGTCCCCTTACTTTCTTCAAGCTTCTACTTAAATGTCATCCTCTTACGGAGACCCCCTCTGGCCATCCTTAAACTTGTAGTGTATTTCTACCCAACCCCTCTCATGCTACCCACTCCCCCAATTTTCCTCTATTTTTGTGGTCATGTGACTTTTTCCATCGTCAGTCACATGTGCTACCTGGAGTGCACTAAATTAGAAAAAAGAAAGGGCCTTCACTTACTGAACACACTGCCAGAGGTGCCCAAGACACAGCTGGTGTTGGGTAGGCATTGTCTCAGGAATAACACTCATAACTTACTCTTGTGTTGTGCTCATAGACAAGCTAAAATGTTTGAGAATCAAGAAACTGAGACCATGACAAAAAAGGAACGATCCAAGATCACATGAAATGAACAGGTGACACAGCCAAGTATCAAAGTAATGATTTAGTCACTCATTCTTCAGACAGTTTAAGTGTAATGCCAGGACCCAAGAGTAAACAAGACAGCTACAGTCTCTGCTTCATAGAGGTGACACCAGCATCCCACCATCCCAACATAGTCTGAGAAGCAGGACCATGGGAAACTAGATTACTACAGTGCTGCCTAGGGTTTTTCTTCTATTGTGTTTTTTTTTTTTGTTTCTGTTTTTGTTTTTTGTTTGTTTGTTTGTTTATTTTTTTTTGACAGGCAGAGTTAGACAGTGAGAGAGAGAGACAGAGAGAAAGGTCTTCCTTTACCATTGGTTCACCCCCCAAATGGCTGCTACAGCTGGTGTGCTGCGCCAATCCGAAGCCAGGAGCCAGGTGCTTCCTCCTGGTCTCCCATGCGGGTGCAGGGCCAAAGCACTTGGGCCATCCTCCACTGCCTTCCCGGGCCACAGCAGAGAGCTGGACTGGAAGAAGAGCAACCAGGACAGGATCTGGCGCCCCAACCAGGACTAGAACCCGGGGTGCCGGCGCCACAGGCAGAGGATTAGCCAAGTGAGGCGCGGCGCCTCTATTGTGGTTTTGGTTGGGGACTGGAAAATTATTATGCACCACGTTTCTAGAAAAGCTCTAAACTCCGTGAACAAATCTCAGTGCAGGACTTCTAAGTGAAGAGGATGAGTCCTTACTACTGCTAGACAGGTGGTCCCCACAGCGGCAGCCAGGTGGCACAGCGATGACAGGTTTTGTTTTTAATTTGTTTGCTTGGTTGGCTGCATGCTTTGCTTTTCTTTGCTTCTTCCCTCATCTCTCAGTACCCGTAAGGAGACAGACTGCTGAGATCAGAGCCCCAGTGCCTGGTGGAGACGGTCCAGCCTGATTCTGGTGCTCAAAACGGGCACTGTAGCCTCACTGCCCCACTCAGCTGTGCATCCCAGTCTTCCAGAAGGAACAAGAACTGCTCCCGGCTGGGATGGTCACCGCAGAGCCCAGGCCAGGAAGGGCAGATTTTCTGGGACACTGCACCCGAGGAATACGCGTCAGCTGGCCCCGACCCAGCCAGGCTCTCCTCT